ACCCATCGAGGCATGTAAGGAATTTTGAAAATATGGCCGTGTTACATGGATATTCTGATTATATATGTTGTAGGACATTTTTATCGACCTTGCGTGGAGGAGCACTTGATTGGTTTCATCAGCTGCCCCCTGGGTCGATCGCGGACTTTAAGGATTTTGCCAGCAAACTTACCAATCAGTATTCGAGCGCTGTGGCGCAGGAGAAGACGTATCTGACCCTGATGGCGATGAGGCAGGGGGAGAAGGAATCATTGAGGAAGTATGTTGCTCGGTATAATCAGACGTGCTTGGAGGTGCACTCTGCGTCGAATGAGGTGAAGGCAGAAGGGTTGATAAGAAGTCTTCGAGCGAGGCCGTGCCGAACCTCACTGGAAAAGACCCCTGCTCGATCATTTGAGGATGTTTTGAAGCGGTGTAGGAAGTATATTAACCTGGAAGAGATGGAGGTGGAGTTTGCAAAACTGGAGGGAGCGGCTCGACTAGAGCCAAAGAGGGAAAAGAGACCACCGAGGGGGAGGCCGCCGAAGAGAAGTTTTCCCAGGCGGACTGGGCCGAAAAGATCCTCGCCTAAAGGAGAGGGCGAGACTCAAAGCAAAAGGGATGATAGGTGGAAAGGGAGGCCGTTGTTGCTCGAGAGACAAAGGTACCATAATTTCACACCGTTGAGGAAAGATTTAACAGAAGTGCTCGAGGCGATGGAGCAGAAGATGTCGAGCGAAGATGTGACGTGGCCAAAGACGAGGTTTACAGGCCCGATTCATCCCCGATCAGATATCTATTGTCGTTTCTATCGAGACTATGGCCATACCACAGAGAATTGCAGACATTTGAAGGATGAGATCGAGAGGTTGATCCGGGAAGGACATCTGAAGGAGTTTCTGTACCATGATAGAGTAAAAAGAAAGGGAAGAAGGAGATGTAAGGAGGATTCGGAGAAGAGGAGCGATATAGATGAGAAGGGGACGATAGAGATTGTCGAGGGCAGAAGTCGAGGAAGGACGGAGAGAAAGGAGGGCTAAGGGGCGATACTCCTGTGAATAGAGGGACGATCTATATGATTTCAGGAGGGCCGACGGATGGTGACTCGAACAACGCCAGGAAGGAGCATGCTCGAGCAGTGAGAGGAAGAGGAGGAGGTCGGAATCACGACTCATATGCCGGTGATAAGTTTTAAGGTGGAGGATGCTAAAGTGGTGGTGTTACCACACAATGATGCTTTGGTGATT